ATAGGGTACATATATCTGACCCTTATCAATTTTGGTACCAAACTCCTTACTTAGCTCAATGAGAGGAATCGTCTAAATGGATGTATTTTTCAACTAACCTCTCAGACTGGGGCTGTATTAAAGGAAGTAAACTAATAATAAAATTAAAATTCATCCAAGTCAAGAAACATAAATTCGTTTTTTTGACAGAGGCAAAATTGCCATCCTAAAAGTTATGGATCTGTTTTACATTTTTCGACCAAAAATAAGAAAAATTAATTTTTCTTATTGGTATTGAAAATTTAAAAATAAATAATTTGTATATAATTTAAAAAAAAAAGTAAAAAAAAAGTCAAGTAAAGATTAAAAGAATTAATATCGTCTATCTATCTGTTCGGCTATTTTTATGCGCATCTAAAAAGAGAGATGGCACTTCCGATAATGGAAGGAAATTGAAAGAAATAAACGAGATTGAAATATAAAAAATAAATAAAATGGAGTAAATGGCCTTCGCCAACATCAAAAAATAAAAATAAAAAAAATTTTTTAGGTAAATAAATAATAAATAAAGTTTAGTTTAAGACTTTAATAAAAAACTGGGGAAGTGTTGGAATTTAGTTTAGTAAAATAATAAAGTGTTCGATATTCATAGCTTTTGGTCAGTTTATTCATATCAATCATGCCTGATTATAGTTATTCTTAAAATTTCAAAAACCCCCCAGAACTAGCCAAAATTTTTGAAAATTTTATCAAACAATTAATTAGTTAAATATTTTAATAAATAAGGATCCGTAATTGAAATAAAAAGATTTTAAAGTTAAATCGAATTTATTTATTTTCAGAAATAAAAAAAAAATTAATTTAAATTATAATCTAATTTTTAATTAGAGACCGGACCGAGACGAGATCTCGATCGAAAATTTCGGTTATCGAGATCGAGAATTTTTAGAGATCTCGATTCTTGTAGCAACCAACCAGTCCGTTCTCTATTCTTAATTGTATGTAAATGTTCTGTTATAAAATAGGGGTAGCAAAAAATTAAAATTAAAAAAATTTATTTTTCTTCATTAAATTTATTTTGAAAGTTTCAAAGATATACTCCTCTAAGACTATCTAAAAAGGATCTCATCAACCAAAATGAATTTTTTTGGCTAAATAAAATTGCTATTTGCCTGCCTATAATTGAATTGGCCACCCAATTGGCTCAAGTAGAGCAAAAAAATAAAAAAAAAAAAGAAAATTGGATTTGGCCAAAGAACAACAACCAATAAATAAATGAATATAAATTTTTTGAAAAGGAAAATTGTCTTAATAAATATAAAAAATAAAAATATTTTTGTGGAAAAACTGGGGAAAAACTTGAAAAATTAGTAAACCAGGTCAGAAAACACTGAAAAAAAAAGAAAATAATTTTTGAAAATCTAAATCTCAATAACCAAAAGATTCTAGAATAAGATCTCGTTTTGACCCTGTCCAGAGTTTCAGTCATTTAATCCAGAGAATTGTTATTTTAATTGTTAGTTACTCTTGACGAAGAAAATAAGTTATATTTATGTAAATCAAGGGATATCATGAGTTATCCGAAACACGATATCTGGACTTTTGTTCGACCCGAAATTGGAACCCGAATCTGAAGAAAACTTTGAAAACACTGGCCGACTTTCTTATCAACCAGTGACTTAACTAAATTAATAATAAAGGGGGTACGCTCAAGTAGGCTCAAGTAGACACGTTAAGGTAGGCGCAAAGCCATAACTAACTGGAAAATTTCTGGCCCTATTAATTTTAATACCGACCTCTTTAACTCGATGAGAGGAATTGTTTATCTACTAAATTTGATAAAATTCCGAAATCTTGAAATAAATTATGGCTTTGCGCCTACTTGGCCGCGTGCCTCCTGGGCTGTACCCATACAAAAATAGGAAATAAAGATTTAGAGATCAATTAATTTTGAAAATAGGCAGATCAATATTTAAAAGATAATACCATTCTATAAAATTTAGCAAATCTCTTTAACTAAGAGAGTTTTAACATTCTTTACCTATAAAGGTAATTTTAAATTTTATTATTAATTATTTAATGGAAAAATAAAAATAAATGTAAAAGAGTGCTGACGTTTTTATAATTAATTCTTCCCCCATTTTTGCATGTTTTGCGCGAAAATCTGAAGGGAAGAAAGAGCATTTGAAGATATATTAAGCAATTAGAGGAAGAAGGATGTCAAAAATTAAAAATTAACCAGTCTACTCTTATAATTACATATGTGGAATAAATCAATTAAATCCACTCCAAAAACATTTTTTAGTAATTAATTTAAAATCCAATTAAAGATTTTGTAGTTTTTGTTCAAAGGAATTTAAAGAGAAAATTACAAAATTAATGAAAATTTAGATTAGCCGACATTGCTAGATAAGATAGTCAGACCAATTTGAATCAACCCAAAATTGCCTAAAATTTTATTTTTAAAAGCCTAGTTATAATCCTTGGGGATTTAGGTGTATAATAATTTGAGGTAGTAGGACCAGACTGAGAGTGTCGTACGAGAATTTAGATCGATATCTCGAAAAAATCTCGATCTTGAGAACTGAGATTTTAGATCAAAATCTCATCTCGATCGGTCACTAAACTGAAGGAACTTCTCGATACAATTAACAGGCTATTAAATATTTTTTAAATACCTATAATAAAAATTAAATCTTATAGGGATCAGTTTGAGGCCTTTTCCAATACTCAACAAAATATAAAAGTACTAAAAAACCAAAGTAAGAAAAAAAACAATCAGGACAAGCTGTACGCATACGTGGAATATCCACATGCAAAGCATGAATTTAACACAAACATAAAAATTATAAAAAAATGATGACAACATTTAAAATAAAATTTAGATGACAACAATAAAATAATTATTAAAGACGAGGAAATAACAATAAACAAATAATTTTTTAAAATTTCATCAAGGGATTGTGATAACAAATAAAGTAATAAAAATTAAACAAAATTTGTCGAAAAAAATATTTTTGTGTGGTGATCAGAGAATGAAAAAAAATAAAAATTAAGACACATTTAGTGACAAGATTAATTTAAAAGTACTTATGCGAGTTTGGATTTACAATAAAAATATTAAACTTAGAAGAAAAACCAGAAGGAAAAACCTGGAAGAAGGGAAGGAGCTCAATTAGAAGAGGAACTGAAGCTCGGTATGTAGTAGGGTACCGATATACCGTTCCGATTCACCAAAATAGGACCTTTTTTGGGTTAAATTTCCTTCATCGAACAGGAATTAAAATTTTTTCAGAAATCCTAAATACACAAGAATCGGGAATTAATTTCTATGTCGACTGATATGTATGTATATAGATTTCCAACAAAACAAAACTATGTAAATTGTAATTCTAAAAACTATAATTAATTTTTAAATTATAAATAATATTTAGAGTGTGTCCTAGTCAAGAAAAAAATTTTTTGAGATAAAAAATTATGTGTATTATTTAACGAAAAAATACTTCGTGTCAACAGTTTTTTAAATTAAAAAATTTTAGAGAGAAGTTTTATGAAAAAATCTCAACGTAGATGTTGTTGTCATTACAATCAAAGGAAGGAAAGAGGGTGTATGTTATGATAATATTAGACAAAATTTAGCTTAAACACTTAAACACACTAAATGTAACGTGGAAGTTACATACTTATTGAAGCTATAAGAAAATAGTGTTTAAATATAATGTCAAAGAAAAAGAGGAAAAAGTTGCAAAAAATTATTTGATCGTAAAAATGTAAGGAAAATGATGAAATAAATGCCAACGCAACATTTGACAAAAAATTAAAAGATAGCTAAGAAGACGTGTTAAAGAATAGAAAATGTTGTATATAAACAAAGGAGGAACACAGAGGTATCAATATCAATAACATTCAATTCAATAAAACCAATTGGGTGGAAGAGCCCTAAACAAAATGAAGAAATTAATTCAATTCCAAATACTTTGGGCAATAATAATTGGGGTTAGCACGCAAACATGTCAACCACCAACAACTCCCCCAATATGTACTTGCACATGGGAAACCTCTCCTGGCGTTACTTCGACTGTTCAAATGACAACTACTATAGCACAAACTATAACAACAACAGCAGGAACAACAGCTTCAACCAGTTCAGAGAGTCCTGCTACTGGAAATCCATCTGTAACTCCAGAAACAACAGGAGCACCATCAAGCACTGCTAGTCCGACAACTGGAAATCCAACTGTGACACAACAGACTAATACTCAAACACAACAGACTAATAGATTTTACACTCCTGGTTCATCAACTGGAGCACCATCAAGCACAGCTGGTCCGTCAACTGGAGCACCATCAAGCACAGCTGGTCCGTCAACTGGAGCACCACCGACATACCCGGCTGGACCGACAACTGGAGCACCATCAAGCACTTCTGGTCCGACAACTGGAGCACCATCAAGCACTGCTGGTTCGACAACTGGAGCACCATCAAGCTCAGCTAGCCCTGCTACTGGAAATCCAACTGTGACTCCAGCTTCTGATGCTACAACAAGCACAGCTAGTCCGTCAACTGGAGCACCATCAAGCACGGCTGGTCCGTCAACTGGAGCACCACCGACATACCCGGCTGGACCGACAACTGGAGCACCATCAAGCACAGCTGCTCCGTCAACTGGAGCACCATCAAGCACAGCTGGTCCAACAACTGGAGCACCATCAAGCACAGCTGGTTCGTCAACTGGAGCACCATCAAGCACAGCTGGCCCATCAACAGGAGCACCGACATACACGGCTGGTCCGTCAACTGGAACACCATCAAGCACAGCTGGTCCGTCAACTGGAGCACCATCAAGCACAGCTAGTCCGTCAACTGGAGCACCATCAAGCACGGCTGGTCCGACAACTGGAGCACCATCAAGCACAGCTGGTCCGTCAACTGGAGCACCATCAAGCACAGCTGGTCCGTCAACTGGAGCACCATCAAGCACAGCTAGTCCGTCAACTGGAGCACCATCAAGCACGGCTGGTCCGACAACTGGAGCACCATCAAGCACAGCTAGTCCGTCAACTGGAGCACCATCAAGCACGGCTGGTCCGACAACTGGAGCACCATCAAGCACAGCTGGTCCGTCAACTGGAGCACCATCAAGCACAGCTAGTCCGTCAACTGGAGCACCATCAAGCACGGCTGGTCCGACAACTGGAGCACCATCAAGCACAGCTGGTCAGTCAACTGGAGCCCCATCAAGCACAGCTGGTCCGACAACAGGAGCACCATCAAGCACAGCTAGTCCGTCAACTGGAGCACCATCAAGCACGGCTGGTCCGACAACTGGAGCACCATCAAGCACTGCTGGTTCGACAACTGGAGCACCATACTAGAGATGGGCTCTTAAAATGCTTAAGAGCCCATCTCTAGTAGCTAAATATCAACGCCTAAATAACCCAAACCTCTCCTTCATTTATTCATTTTATAACACACTTAAGAATTTAATTCTAAATCCCATTTTAATAAAAATAGACTTAAAAATAAGTAAAGATATTAAGGAAAATAAAAAAAGTCATGATCTCAGATTAAGGTCAAATTTTTTGTTGAGAAAGAAAAAAAAAAGAATTTTACAACATTAATTAAAATAGGAGTAAGTATTGGTTTTACAACTTTGTTTTGGATAGAAGGGAAGTTTGCCTCAGTCATGGTAAAACCTTGAAAAAGAAAAACGATTTAAAAACAAAAAATTAGAATCTGAAGATATTGGATTTAAGCAAATACAAGAGACACAATTTTATAGGGTACATATATCTGACCCTTATCAATTTTGGTACCAAACTCCTTACTTAGCTCAATGAGAGGAATCGTCTAAATGGATGTATTTTTCAACTAACCTCTCAGACTGGGGCTGTATTAAAGGAAGTAAACTAATAATAAAATTAAAATTCATCCAAGTCAAGAAACATAAATTCGTTTTTTTGACAGAGGCAAAATTGCCATCCTAAAAGTTATGGATCTGTTTTACATTTTTCGACCAAAAATAAGAAAAATTAATTTTTCTTATTGGTATTGAAAATTTAAAAATAAATAATTTGTATATAATTTAAAAAAAAAAGTAAAAAAAAAGTCAAGTAAAGATTAAAAGAATTAATATCGTCTATCTATCTGTTCGGCTATTTTTATGCGCATCTAAAAAGAGAGATGGCACTTCCGATAATGGAAGGAAATTGAAAGAAATAAACGAGATTGAAATATAAAAAATAAATAAAATGTAGTAAATGGCCTTCGCCAACATCAAAAAATAAAAATAAAAAAAATTTTTTAGGTAAATAAATAATAAATAAAGTTTAGTTTAAGACTTTAATAAAAAACTGGGGAAGTGTTGGAATTTAGTTTAGTAAAATAATAAAGTGTTCGATATTCATAGCTTTTGGTCAGTTTATTCATATCAATCATGCCTGATTATAGTTATTCTTAAAATTTCAAAAACCCCCCAGAACTAGCCAAAATTTTTGAAAATTTTATCAAACAATTAATTAGTTAAATATTTTAATAAATAAGGATCCGTAATTGAAATAAAAAGATTTTAAAGTTAAATCGAATTTATTTATTTTCAGAAATAAAAAAAAAATTAATTTAAATTATAATCTAATTTTTAATTAGAGACCGGACCGAGACGAGATCTCGATCGAAAATTTCGGTTATCGAGATCGAGAATTTTTAGAGATCTCGATTCTTGTAGCAACCAACCAGTCCGTTCTCTATTCTTAATTGTATGTAAATGTTCTGTTATAAAATAGGGGTAGCAAAAAATTAAAATTAAAAAAATTTATTTTTCTTCATTAAATTTATTTTGAAAGTTTCAAAGATATACTCCTCTAAGACTATCTAAAAAGGATCTCATCAACCAAAATGAATTTTTTTGGCTAAATAAAATTGCTATTTGCCTGCCTATAATTGAATTGGCCACCCAATTGGCTCAAGTAGAGCAAAAAAATAAAAAAAAAAAAGAAAATTGGATTTGGCCAAAGAACAACAACCAATAAATAAATGAATATAAATTTTTTGAAAAGGAAAATTGTCTTAATAAATATAAAAAATAAAAATATTTTTGTGGAAAAACTGGGGAAAAACTTGAAAAATTAGTAAACCAGGTCAGAAAACACTGAAAAAAAAAGAAAATAATTTTTGAAAATCTAAATCTCAATAACCAAAAGATTCTAGAATAAGATCTCGTTTTGACCCTGTCCAGAGTTTCAGTCATTTAATCCAGAGAATTGTTATTTTAATTGTTAGTTACTCTTGACGAAGAAAATAAGTTATATTTATGTAAATCAAGGGATATCATGAGTTATCCGAAACACGATATCTGGACTTTTGTTCGACCCGAAATTGGAACCCGAATCTGAAGAAAACTTTGAAAACACTGGCCGACTTTCTTATCAACCAGTGACTTAACTAAATTAATAATAAAGGGGGTACGCTCAAGTAGGCTCAAGTAGACACGTTAAGGTAGGCGCAAAGCCATAACTAACTGGAAAATTTCTGGCCCTATTAATTTTAATACCGACCTCTTTAACTCGATGAGAGGAATTGTTTATCTACTAAATTTGATAAAATTCCGAAATCTTGAAATAAATTATGGCTTTGCGCCTACTTGGCCGCGTGCCTCCTGGGCTGTACCCATACAAAAATAGGAAATAAAGATTTAGAGATCAATTAATTTTGAAAATAGGCAGATCAATATTTAAAAGATAATACCATTCTATAAAATTTAGCAAATCTCTTTAACTAAGAGAGTTTTAACATTCTTTACCTATAAAGGTAATTTTAAATTTTATTATTAATTATTTAATGGAAAAATAAAAATAAATGTAAAAGAGTGCTGACGTTTTTATAATTAATTCTTCCCCCATTTTTGCATGTTTTGCGCGAAAATCTGAAGGGAAGAAAGAGCATTTGAAGATATATTAAGCAATTAGAGGAAGAAGGATGTCAAAAATTAAAAATTAACCAGTCTACTCTTATAATTACATATGTGGAATAAATCAATTAAATCCACTCCAAAAACATTTTTTAGTAATTAATTTAAAATCCAATTAAAGATTTTGTAGTTTTTGTTCAAAGGAATTTAAAGAGAAAATTACAAAATTAATGAAAATTTAGATTAGCCGACATTGCTAGATAAGATAGTCAGACCAATTTGAATCAACCCAAAATTGCCTAAAATTTTATTTTTAAAAGCCTAGTTATAATCCTTGGGGATTTAGGTGTATAATAATTTGAGGTAGTAGGACCAGACTGAGAGTGTCGTACGAGAATTTAGATCGATATCTCGAAAAAATCTCGATCTTGAGAACTGAGATTTTAGATCAAAATCTCATCTCGATCGGTCACTAAACTGAAGGAACTTCTCGATACAATTAACAGGCTATTAAATATTTTTTAAATACCTATAATAAAAATTAAATCTTATAGGGATCAGTTTGAGGCCTTTTCCAATACTCAACAAAATATAAAAGTACTAAAAAACCAAAGTAAGAAAAAAAACAATCAGGACAAGCTGTACGCATACGTGGAATATCCACATGCAAAGCATGAATTTAACACAAACATAAAAATTATAAAAAAATGATGACAACATTTAAAATAAAATTTAGATGACAACAATAAAATAATTATTAAAGACGAGGAAATAACAATAAACAAATAATTTTTTAAAATTTCATCAAGGGATTGTGATAACAAATAAAGTAATAAAAATTAAACAAAATTTGTCGAAAAAAATATTTTTGTGTGGTGATCAGAGAATGAAAAAAAATAAAAATTAAGACACATTTAGTGACAAGATTAATTTAAAAGTACTTATGCGAGTTTGGATTTACAATAAAAATATTAAACTTAGAAGAAAAACCAGAAGGAAAAACCTGGAAGAAGGGAAGGAGCTCAATTAGAAGAGGAACTGAAGCTCGGTATGTAGTAGGGTACCGATATACCGTTCCGATTCACCAAAATAGGACCTTTTTTGGGTTAAATTTCCTTCATCGAACAGGAATTAAAATTTTTTCAGAAATCCTAAATACACAAGAATCGGGAATTAATTTCTATGTCGACTGATATGTATGTATATAGATTTCCAACAAAACAAAACTATGTAAATTGTAATTCTAAAAACTATAATTAATTTTTAAATTATAAATAATATTTAGAGTGTGTCCTAGTCAAGAAAAAAATTTTTTGAGATAAAAAATTATGTGTATTATTTAACGAAAAAATACTTCGTGTCAACAGTTTTTTAAATTAAAAAATTTTAGAGAGAAGTTTTATGAAAAAATCTCAACGTAGATGTTGTTGTCATTACAATCAAAGGAAGGAAAGAGGGTGTATGTTATGATAATATTAGACAAAATTTAGCTTAAACACTTAAACACACTAAATGTAACGTGGAAGTTACATACTTATTGAAGCTATAAGAAAATAGTGTTTAAATATAATGTCAAAGAAAAAGAGGAAAAAGTTGCAAAAAATTATTTGATCGTAAAAATGTAAGGAAAATGATGAAATAAATGCCAACGCAACATTTGACAAAAAATTAAAAGATAGCTAAGAAGACGTGTTAAAGAATAGAAAATGTTGTATATAAACAAAGGAGGAACACAGAGGTATCAATATCAATAACATTCAATTCAATAAAACCAATTGGGTGGAAGAGCCCTAAACAAAATGAAGAAATTAATTCAATTCCAAATACTTTGGGCAATAATAATTGGGGTTAGCACGCAAACATGTCAACCACCAACAACTCCCCCAATATGTACTTGCACATGGGAAACCTCTCCTGGCGTTACTTCGACTGTTCAAATGACAACTACTATAGCACAAACTATAACAACAACAGCAGGAACAACAGCTTCAACCAGTTCAGAGAGTCCTGCTACTGGAAATCCATCTGTAACTCCAGAAACAACAGGAGCACCATCAAGCACTGCTAGTCCGACAACTGGAAATCCAACTGTGACACAACAGACTAATACTCAAACACAACAGACTAATAGATTTTACACTCCTGGTTCATCAACTGGAGCACCATCAAGCACAGCTGGTCCGTCAACTGGAGCACCATCAAGCACAGCTGGTCCGTCAACTGGAGCACCACCGACATACCCGGCTGGACCGACAACTGGAGCACCATCAAGCACTTCTGGTCCGACAACTGGAGCACCATCAAGCACTGCTGGTTCGACAACTGGAGCACCATCAAGCTCAGCTAGCCCTGCTACTGGAAATCCAACTGTGACTCCAGCTTCTGATGCTACAACAAGCACAGCTAGTCCGTCAACTGGAGCACCATCAAGCACGGCTGGTCCGTCAACTGGAGCACCACCGACATACCCGGCTGGACCGACAACTGGAGCACCATCAAGCACAGCTGCTCCGTCAACTGGAGCACCATCAAGCACAGCTGGTCCAACAACTGGAGCACCATCAAGCACAGCTGGTTCGTCAACTGGAGCACCATCAAGCACAGCTGGCCCATCAACAGGAGCACCGACATACACGGCTGGTCCGTCAACTGGAACACCATCAAGCACAGCTGGTCCGTCAACTGGAGCACCATCAAGCACAGCTAGTCCGTCAACTGGAGCACCATCAAGCACGGCTGGTCCGACAACTGGAGCACCATCAAGCACAGCTGGTCCGTCAACTGGAGCACCATCAAGCACAGCTGGTCCGTCAACTGGAGCACCATCAAGCACAGCTAGTCCGTCAACTGGAGCACCATCAAGCACGGCTGGTCCGACAACTGGAGCACCATCAAGCACAGCTAGTCCGTCAACTGGAGCACCATCAAGCACGGCTGGTCCGACAACTGGAGCACCATCAAGCACAGCTGGTCCGTCAACTGGAGCACCATCAAGCACAGCTAGTCCGTCAACTGGAGCACCATCAAGCACGGCTGGTCCGACAACTGGAGCACCATCAAGCACAGCTGGTCAGTCAACTGGAGCCCCATCAAGCACAGCTGGTCCGACAACAGGAGCACCATCAAGCACAGCTAGTCCGTCAACTGGAGCACCATCAAGCACGGCTGGTCCGACAACTGGAGCACCATCAAGCACTGCTGGTTCGACAACTGGAGCACCATCAAGCTCAGCTAGCCCTGCTACTGGAAACCCATCTGTGACTCCAGGTTCTGATGCTACAACAAGCACGGCTGGTCCGTCAACTGGAGCACCATCAAGCACAGCTGGTCCGTCAACTGGAGCACCATCAAGCACTTCTGGTCCGACAACTGGAGCACCACCGACATACCCGGCTGGACCGACAACTGGAGCACCAACAAGCACTTCTGGTCCGACAACTGGAGCACCATCAAGCACTGCTGGTCAAACAACTGGAGCATCGACAAGTACTGCTGGTCCGACAACTGGAGGACAAACAAGTGCAAAACCTACCCGAGTTACACCTTGTCATGAAACAACTAAGACAACTGTGCGTACAACAGAAGCCCCAACAAGCACACCTGGCCCTACTACTGGAAATCCATCGGTGACTCCAGCGACTGAAGCTCCAACAAGCACAGCTGGTCAATCAACTGGAGCACCATCAAGCACAGCTGGTCCATCAACTGTAGCACCATCAAGCACAACTAGTCCGTCAACTGGAGCACCATCAAGCACGGCTGGTCCGACAACTGGAGCACCATCAAGCACAGCTGCTCCGTCAACTGGAGCACCATCAAGCACAGCTGGTTCGTCAACTGGAGCACCATCAAGCACAGCTGCTCCGTCAACTGGAGCACCATCAAGCACAGCTGGTCCAACAACTGGAGCTCCATCAAGCACAGCTGGTCCAACAACTGGAGCACCATCAAGCACAGCTGCTCCGTCAACTGGAGCACCATCAAGCACAGCTGGTCCAACAACTGGAGCACCATCAAGCACAGCTGGTTCGTCAACTGGAGCACCATCAAGCACAGCTGGTCCAACAACTGGAGCTCCATCAAGCACAGCTGGTCCAACAACTGGAGCACCATCAAGCACAGCTGGTCCAACAACTGGAGCACCATCAAGCACAGCTGGTTCGTCAACTGGAGCTCCATCAAGCACAGCTGGTCCAACAACTGGAGCACCATCAAGCACAGCTGGTTCGTCAACTGGAGCACCATCAAGCACAGCTGCTCCGTCAACTGGAGCACCATCAAGCACTTCTGGTCCGACAACTGGAGCACCATCAAGCACAGCTGGTCAGTCAACTGGAGCACCATCAAGCACAGCTGGTCAGTCAACTGGAGCACCATCAAGCACAGCTGGTCCGACAACTGGAGCACCATCAAGCACAGCTGGTCAGTCAACTGGAGCACCATCAAGCACAGCTGGTCAGTCAACTGGAGCCCCATCAAGCACAGCAGGTCCGACAACAGGAGCACCATCAAGCACAGCTAGTCTGTCAACTGGAGCACCACCTACATACCCGGCTGGACCGACAACTGGAGCACCATCAAGCACTTCTGGTCCGACAACTGGAGCACCATCAAGCACTGCTGGTCCGTCAACTGGAGCACCACCTACATACCCGGCTGGACCGACAACTGGAGCACCATCAAGCACTTCTGGTCCGACAACTGGAGCACCATCAAGCACTGCTGGTTCGACAACTGGAGCACCATCAAGCTCAGCTAGCCCTGCTACTGGAAATCCATCTGTGACTCCAGGTTCTGATGCTACAACAAGCACAGCTGGTTCGTCAACTGGAGCACCATCAAGCACAGCTGCTCCGTCAACTGGAGCACCATCAAGCACAGCTGGTTCGTCAACGGGAGCACCATCAAGCACAGCTGGTTCGTCAACTCGAGCACCATCAAGCACTTCTGGTCCGACAACTGGAGCACCATCAAGCACAGTTGGTCAGTCAACTGGAGCACCATCAAGCACAGCTGGTCAGTCAACTGGAGCACCATCAAGCACAGCTGGTCAGTCAACTGGAGCCCCATCAAGCACAGCAGGTCCGACAACAGGAGCACCATCAAGCACAGCTAGTCTGTCAACTGGAGCACCACCTACATACCCGGCTGGACCGACAACTGGAGCACCATCAAGCACTTCTGGTCCGACAACTGGAGCACCATCAAGCACTGCTGGTCCGTCAACTGGAGCACCACCTACATACCCGGCTGGACCGACAACTGGAGCACCATCAAGCACTTCTGGTCCGACAACTGGAGCACCATCAAGCACTGCTGGTTCGACAACTGGAGCACCATCAAGCTCAGCTAGCCCTGCCACTGGAAATCCAACTGTGACTCCAGCTTCTGATGCTACAACAAGCACGGCTGGTCCGACAACAGGAGCACCATCAAGCACAGCTAGTCCGTCAACTGGAGCACCACCTACATACCCGGCTGGACCGACAACTGGAGCACCATCAAGCACTTCTGGTCCGACAACTGGAGCACCATCAAGCACTGCTGGTCCGTCAACTGGAGCACCACCTACATACCCGGCTGGACCGACAACTGGAGCACCTTCAAGCACTTCTGGTCCGACAACTGGAGCACCATCAAGCACTGCTGGTTCGACAACTGGAGCACCATCAAGCTCAGCTAGTCCTGCTACTGGAAATCCATCTGTGACTCCAGGTTCTGATGCTACAACAAGCACAGCTGGTTCGTCAACTGGAGCACCATCAAGCACAGCTGCTCCGTCAACTGGAGCACCATCAAGCACAGCTGGTCCGTCAACTGGAGCACCATCAAGCACAGCTGGTCCGTCAACTGGAGCACCATCAAGCACAGCTGGTCCGTCAACTGGAGCACCATCAAGCACAGCTAGTCCGTCAACTGGAGCACCATCAAGCACGGCTGGTCCGACAACTGGAGCACCATCAAGCACAGCTGGTCCGTCAACTGGAGCACCATCAAGCACAGCTGGTCCGTCAACTGGAGCACCATCAAGCACAGCTGGTCCGTCAACTGGAGCACCATCAAGCACTTCTGGTCCGACAACTGGAGCACCGACAAGCACTTATGGACCGACAACTGGAGCACCATCAAGCACTTCTGGTCCAACAACTGGAGCACCGTCAAGCACAGCTGGTCGATCAACAGGAGCACCGACAAGTACGGCTGGTCCAACAACTCAAGCAATTCCTTCAACTAAATTGCCATCAACTTCCCAACGTCCTAGCCCTACTCCAAAGAGTTACCTTTCTCGTTAAATTTCATTAATTTGTTTTTCCTTTATAGAGTGCTGCAACTATCTTAAATGCCAAGTTTGCAACAAATATCAGATTTGCGATGAATATAATTATCCAAATCCTTGCGTGTAAAGGAGGAATAATTAATACATTATTGTTGTTAAAAATATTTCCCTGTCTCTTTCATAATTCTATTTTTATTTTTAGCTTTTCCTTTAACATTTTCGAGAATGAATAATAAAATTTTTAACATCTTGCAGACTTATTGTGATTTGGAACTTTTGGAGTTTCGCCTTTGTTTTGGGACTATTATGTCTTTCTTGGAATTTTATAGTTTAGGATAATTCTTTAAATTTCTGTGGCAAAGTTCTTTTAGTATCAGAGAGATACCAACCAATTCCTTGCCTTTTTTCGCTCTTCTCGCCCTCACATTTTTTCCCTCCTGTTTCCTATTTTTAAATTTTCTATAGTACCTATCCAGGATAGGAATTAATCCGTGTCGGGCTAACTCAAGGAACAAACAATTCAAGTAACGACCAACTTATGGAACGACAAATCATGTAATATTTTAAAAATCGGAATTTTTTTAAACTCTGAATATTTTTAAAAAATTAGATTTAAAAAAAATTAGATATTTTAAAAAACAGAATTTTAAAAAAATTCTGAAAAATTCTGATTTTTAGAATATTCCATGATTTGGTAGTTACATGAGTTGGTTGTTCCTTGATTTGTCTTTTCCTCGAGTTGTTTTTGTTTGATTTGTCTGTTCCTTGAGTTGGTATTCCTTGAGTTGCCCTTCACCCAAATCATCAATGGGCTCGAGTTTTTATGCTTGTCCAACGTCTTGTTATACCCAGAAACATTCGAAACTAAAGAAAATCTAAACAAAATCCGATTTTTATTTCAAAAAAATTCCTTTCTAAAGGGTAATTCTAACAAATTTTCTTTAAAAAATATCATTTTAGAATTTTAAATTTATATATTTTTTCTGTCTCGTTTAAAAAATATTTACAATGTTATCGAAAACGCGAAGAAAATTAAGGAAAAGAAACATGAAAATAAGTGAGTAATTCAATTGAGGGAAATTGAATAGAGAATAATGGAAATAAAAAAAAGTTGAAATTGATGAAGAGTTTTGCAAGAAAATTGCAGGAAATAAGGGAAAAATGGCCAAAGATTATTTTTCTTTTTTATATTTTTAAATTGGGATAAAATTGAAAAAAAAATAAAATTTATTAAGAAAAGGGTATTTTAAAAAATAAATTTTGGGAAAATGAAGGAGGATTTTAAAGATTTTTAAAATTTATTGACGTTAATAAATGTTAAGTGATACAGAATTTAAGTTTAGGGAAAATGTTCGGAAAATGCATCGGAAAATGTTCACCAATTAATAAAAAGGGTCAGAATACAAATTTAGGAAATTTTTTTAAATCTACACGATAATTTCAAAAAATTCGTTTTTCCGCCAATAAATATGACAAATTATTATTTCACTTCTCAGTGAGTAAGGAGAGACTTTCTGAATTTAATTTTTTTTAATTTGAATAAGTAAATAAAAAAATGAGTAAAAGCTCAAGATGGTTTTAAAAATAAAATTTATTTCATATTTTCCTTAAAATGTGTATAACAAACCTTTTGCTTATTTCTATCAAAAAATTGTTATGAATAGAGACTTTATAATTTAATTTATATTTACTCAAAATTTTTATATAATATTAAAATAAAAATAACTTGACAATTTTTTGTATAGTATTTCCACATATTTTTAATAAAAATTTTTATATTCTTGAAAAATCATTTAAATAAATATGAAACTTTTAGATTTAAAAATTAAAAAAGTATAACTAAATTGGGTAATTTTTACATATAGGTTTTGGGTTATGATTAGGGCTGCACGCAATTGAAAAAAAAAGATTCCGCAACTCGTATTTTTTTAAAGAATCCGCACCGGAACTCGCAATTGCAAAAACCCTTCAATTTACGCAATCCGCAACTCTAAACCCGCAATTGCGTGCAGCCCTGGTTATGATAATGTAAAGCATATAGCTATTAATTTCCTAAGGCTGAGCAGTAGGCGGCGTGGTGTAATGGCTAACACATCAGTCCGGTCTACTGAAGATGCTGGTTCGCTCCCAGCCGCCGAATAACCTTTTGCACTAGCTAAAGGAGAGAAATGGCTATAGCCCAGCTGCTTTACTATAACAAATTTAATCTTATACATGCTAAAATGCTTTCATTTGAAATATCTAATTGAATTAAATTGTCTTGTTAAATAATTGATAAATTAAATAAAGAAATTTCAAATAAATTTTTATAAAAATAAAAAGTGGTACTTTCGACTACAGTTAACGTATTCAATTAAATGCCCTTAGTTAATTGCCCTCAGTTGGCACTTTTTACTGGGAGAAAGCGAGGCAGGGTAATCGAATGACAATTAATCAACAAGGTGGACTTAAGGCAGTCTTACTCCAAGAGATCTAGTCGCTATACTTTTGATGAATTATTCAATTGGGACCGACCGGTAGTCGGCATTAGGCAATATAACTGTAGTCGGATTATCTTGTAGTGTCGAATTTTCATTTATCACCTTAACCTATATTACAATGACACCCTCTATTGGAACCTTTTTGAAGCTTCACAACAGGTGCAAGTCTTTTCTTCTATTTATCAACATGCGAATTAACTTCAGGTTCCTCATTCTTACCCAGCATAACCGTACCGATTGATCTCCCAGAATCTGATTTTTGTTGATATTTAAAAAGTTCAAAAATACTGCCTGAAGTATTTTCTGAATCTTCAACATTCTCTTCCTCTCCGCCAATTTCCTCTTTCACCTCTCCTTCTCCATTTTTATTCTCTTCATCTTCAGAATTCTTAACCTCCTCCATATGAACATTCTCCTCGTCTTTCTCCTCACTCTTCTCCTCGTCTCCCTCCTCGTTATCTTCCTCCTCAGTCATATCCTCCTCAGTCATATCCTCCTCATCTCCTTCCTTATCACTCATATCTTCATCCAAAACATTTTTCATCTTCAAATCAACTTCCTTCCTGTGTGTTCTAGTCCTGTTTTTCCAACTTGTCTCAAACCTGACACTTTTACCTTTTAAATCAACTTGAACATTTAAATATTCCTTCAAATTTGGGACGAGAATTTTATGGTAAACCTTAAAAATTTTTTCAGAATTAGCTCTTCCGTTTTTTCTTATAGATATTAAATTATCCGCCTCATCAATTGCATTTTTTATTTGTTCTTTTGCACTGTTTGATTTTTTAAACGATTCATTCAAAACTTGTGCAAGAGCAAGGAATGCCCGAAACAGGAAAATATTGTATGAACAACTTCGGCGTTTGGCTGTTATTTAAAAAATATTTATGTATAATTAATGAAAAATAAGCATGCCTCTTAATTATTATTAAAAGTAAAGGAGTTTCCAAACTTTAAAATCTAAACAAACCGAACTTCCTCTATTAACCTTAGAACCTTATTAACATACATAGTAGAGCATAGTAGAGCTTCGCTGGAAGTTCCGGCTCTGGCACGGAACCAAAAAATTAGATCCGGTTCCGTTCCGGTCGAAATTTCTGTTCCGGTTCCGGCCAAATTTGCGGTTCCGGCCACAATTACTGCTGTGAATTAACTAACAGAAGATTCGAGTTCCGACAACTCTGGCTTGTTGACTCATTAACTCAACTCCTAACCATTCATGCTAACTATATCTATTTTTAAAATAACAATATCTAACCGACAGAATAAGCATGTCCTTTGATATTTGCAAAAAATTTGTTCAAATCCCTATACCTCTCAGCTCTGTGATATGTAAATTTACCAAACGCTTTTTTGAATCCTTTGATTTTCAAAGTAGAACATAAATCAACTCTTTTATTTTTAGTATATATTTTCATAATTTTTGATATTTTTCTATAAATTCTATATGCTTTTACTTCTTTCCATTTAAATTTATAAAGATCTGTAAAATAATTATTAGAGTTATCCTCTAAAGGAATTAGGCAAGAACAAATTTTCGATTCTATCGGTTAACCAAACAGATGGTACCAGTTAAAAATTAGGCTCCCTTATTTCTCCACTTTTTATTAATTATATAATTATTAGTTAGTTTAATACATCTGCGCGGTCTTATTAAATTTAGCAATAACAAAAATAAGTAAAGCTGAAATAACAAAATGGAAAAAGGATTCCGTTTTTCCTCATTTAAACAATATTTTCTTGCTTTTTCCTTTTAATAAAAAAATACAAATAAAGTCAGATCTCGATTTCACATAACCCTAGTTGCTGAAAATTATGACTTAAATCGAGTGCATGGAGGAGTCTCGCAGCACTCTTTTCCTTTCCATCCTAAGTATTCTTGGGTATATGTAAAATTGAGGACAGACTGTTTAACCTATAGAGAGCGATCCTTTGTCATTCCCGAAAATAGATAATTAGGAGGGATTGAACAGAACCATCATGGGAAGGGCCTCCATATTCCACTTATTTTTATTCATTTATATATTCTTTCTGGAAGTGCAACAGGTCTACATAAGTCAGGGATGTCTCGAGGTGAGAAAAAAATCGTTCGGGTTGTGATTTTGAAGATTTTTCTGGTCTGGTTCTGGTCTGCCCAAGTATCTGCACTATCCATATATTTAAAAATACCTCTTTCATTATAGAGTACTATTTTTATATTATTTTTAATTTTATTTTCAAATACTTCATAACCTTCTTTATTTAATCCTCCAAACTCCTCAAACCATTTATTTATTCCATCAATTATCCTTTCTCCCCCATTTTTATAATCAACAGGTTTGTCATGGTGTACACGTCTTACTTCTATATTTGATTCAGCTAAGCTTAAATAAAGCTCAACTATAACACGAAGAAGAAACATATCGTAGGCACATTGTGCTCTCCAAATTCTGCCTTTCTTCTCTGGGATAATTTATAATTTTTAATTTTAATTTGAGGAGGGTTCCTGAAAGGGGATGGGGGAGATTTCTGAGTTCCAGGGATTCCCAAACGTCGTTAATGGAGTTTTCTGTTGGCATATTATAGCTAATTAAATGGAACCTTTTATAGCAGGTATATCATGTTTAGTTTTGTAAAACAACTCATCAATCTCTTTAATTCCTGATCCTTTATATTTCATTCTTTTCGACTCCAAATCCTTTATATCTATATGTGTTTTAGTCATATGCATAAAATTTAAATAAACTTTTGTATTTTCTTTAGCCTTTTTTTCTTCTTTTTTATCTATATCTCCTTCTAAAATTGAATATAAAAATAAAAAATATTTTTTGGTGTAATTTTAATTTTGAGAAGAGTGATCGAAAAAACTCGATCGTAGAATCGAAGAAACTAGATTCTTAGATCCGAGGATCGAGGAGATAACCCCCCCCCCTCCTCTTAGAAGGGGGAAGTTTCGGTGTATTACATAGGTAGTTCCGTTTCTCTTTTTTAAAAGGTGGAAAGACCCATCTCTAATAGGTATTGTAGGTAAGAGGAAAGGTGAAAGCGGCCAACGGTTTTAGATTAATGAAGGAATAAATATTTTAAGGTCGTGGAGTTTGATAGGAGTTTGAGGTAGTATAGGTATCTACTATTCGTATATATTAGGGAATGAGCCGTCCCGATTCCCAAAATCGAGAATTTCATTTTTATGTCGGCTCGTTCCCTGGCATATATGGATTCAAAGTCCGGATAAACAAGATATCCTGTCCGCATATATATCTGATTCACTATCCGAATAAAAATTTTTTATTACAAAATTTACCAATTTCCGCAGGTGTTGGAATTTTATCTCTTCCATGCAAAGCAGAACAAATTTCATTTAGCTTAGTTTGTCCTGCCCAAATATCCATTAAAATATTTTTTGTTAAATTTTTAAGAAAAAAATCTTTGGCTTTTTGACGTTCCAAATTTATAATAAATTCTTTTGCATTTAATAATTTTAATAAAAAAATATTTGTTAAAATTAATAATATTTTCTTTTTAGTTAACATTTTTAACTGGAAGTTAGAAGAAAAAATTAGAAAAAAACATTCAACTTTACAATTTAAGGAGAGTGGTTTTAAAATTTTGGCTAGCCTTTAGGGTTTGGGAGCTGTCTTTGGGGTGGGGGAGCTGTCAATGGGGTGGTGAAGCTAGCTTTTGGGTGGGGGGGGGGGCTGTCAATTGGGAAGGGGGAGCTGTCTTTGGGGTGGGGGAGCTAGCTTTTGGGTGGGGGGGGGCTGTCAATGGGGTGGTGAAGCTAGCTTTTGGGTGGGGGGCTGTCAATGCCTATTTCTTTGAATTCTCCATTGAAAATTCACGACTCCATGTAAAATCACGCGCGTCATGCGGCAGAATAGAGAATAAGAAGGGGGAGAGCAAAATCGAGCGCGATTGCCGATTTGCCGCGATTTTTCGAAGCGACATTTATGTACACGTAGCTTCTAATTAATACCCTCTAATTAAAATACACCCTATTATAGGATGACATTTGAGTAACTTATAATGGGGTCCAACTTTTAAAAGTTTTCAACAAGTATAAAGAAACGGGAAAATTTCAACAAAAAATCTCAAATTTCTCGATTTCAGGGATATTACAAAATAACGTAAAACTTTTATTAACTACCCTGGGTAATTATTGTTTCGACCTTCCGATTGAGGGATTAATTAATCGAGGGAGGGTATGAGGTTTGAAATTTGAATGTGTTTTAGGCCATTTGATAAGGGGGTAATTTTGTTTCAACCCATCGCTGGACGGGGTAATTAATGGAAATGGGGTAATTATTTAAGGGAGGGCAATTAATACAGGTTATACAGTAGCTATTTTCAATTTTATAATTTTTAAAAATAAAGGAATAATTTTATAATTTGACTGGGGCAGAATTATAAGTAATTAATCGAGGGAAGGTAATCGAATTAATTGGGAAATTAAATAATTTTTAAGAAATTATAAAAAAGTATTTTTTGAAATCGTCTGGCTTTTTATTAAGAAATCCTTATTTAATGCACTTTTTTGTCGGTTTTTTTTTAATTTTTTAAATGTATAGTCTATCTGTCATGGCGCGTTCACATAAAAAGCGTCTTGCGTTTTGCGGCAAAAAATAGCATTCAAAGGAAGGAGAGACAAAATCGTGTCTTTTCATTTCTAATGCTATTTTTGCCGCAAAACGCAAAGGAAACTTTTATAGCCATAAAATCATATGAAAAAGGGCATAAATCAGCAAATAGAAAAAAGAGGATAGAATTACGATTTCCGAAAATTTATGTTGATTTCCGAGTTCCAACTTTTGAGTTGTTTAAGATTTCCGACAGTTCCGATTTACAGTCTCTCCGTCATTTACGGACCGAGCTCTGTTAGAGATAATGAAATAATGAAAAATTTTAAATACAGTCGGATGAATTGTTGGGGACGAGTTTTGTTTTGGGACGAATTATGGGCATGTCCTCTTATCTTGTTCTGTTTGTAATATTTAATAAAATCAAATTGGCTCGAGTAATTCATTTTAAAAGGAAAATAGTTAAACCAAAATGATCCTAAAATCTTATCCACTTTAAAATTTTTAAAATAAATTAATTTTCTGCCCTTAAATTAAAAGAAATATTGCCCCAAAATGATTACTCGAGAAAGAATATATCAAGAAGAATTTTGAAGTAACGAGACTAATGCGGGGAGAATCTTGTTTCTCTCTTAAAAAGTTAAATTCAAAAAGTATTTAATTCATACATGTGTAGTCTTAGAGGGAAATAAAGAGGAACTAGTTCTCGGAGAGGACACGCCCAAGTAGTCGCGCGCCCATAAAGGCGCAAAGCCATAAATTTCTAGCCCTTATTAATTTTATCTCTTTAGATCGATGAGAGGAATCATTTAATACTGAATTTGGCAAGATTCGGAAGTCATGAAGCAAGTTGTGGCTCTGCGCCGTTCTGGCCGCGCGCCTACTTGGGCTGTAACCTTCTCGGAGTTCTGTATGGGGACAGTAACTTTTGTCAATTTTTGAATTTTGAATGTAAATTTTTGAAAGATAGTCTATAAAATGTTTAAGATAACATATCTCATACTGATATGCATAGATGACTCCAAAATTTTGAAAGATATAATAATTCCAAATGAAAATATAGCTTTAAGGCCGTGTATTCAAAATGAGTTAAAACGAGGATTACTTAAAAATAAAAGAGTTTAAGCATTTATAATAGAGCGGGACAAAACCGTTTAGCTAAACGGTAAACGGTATACGATAAACGGGTTTTTTGGTAAAATTAAACGAAACGGTAAACGGGTCCCAGATAAACGGCATAAACGGTCCTCTGAAATCTCTTCAAATCGCCTCAATCAGTTTAAATCCCATTACATCCCCTTAATCCTTAGATATACGATCCTAATCCCCTTAATCCTCTGATCCCCTTTAATTCCTAATCTACCGATATCCCACCTTAATCCTCCTATATATTCAAATCATCCAAATCTCCAAAACCACTGATCTCCCTCTTAATCAACTTGCATCTCTTCAGTCCTTCATTATTCTCCAATTAATCGATATGATTAATTTATTTTTGAATTATAATTTTTATAAAGAGGGATGAGCTAAATTAATGATTTTTCATCCATTTTTTTGAATTATGAATAGATTTTAAAAAATTTTAAAAATAAACGGTAAACGGTCGTTTAAACGGTTTTTTAAAAATAAACGAAACGGTATACGGGTCTCAGATAAACGGCATAAACGGTATACGGTTTTTTCAAAATTAAACGGTTTTGTCCCACCCTAATTTATAATATTTATTTAGGAGGTCTCGAATTTTCTGGCTTCTCGAGAAAAATTTTAAAAAAATTAATTTTCGAGAATTAATCCTTTCCTGGTTTAAATTTCAAAATTATTTAATTTTATAGCTTGTGATTAATTTTATTTGGCGCCTGCCATCCATGGGTAGTATTTTATGATAATAAATTGAGAAGGATTTTTAGTTTTACTCACTCAATTGCTTTCATTTTTAATTTAAATAATTTTAAAATATATTGGGGCTAATATTAAAGCCAGACCCAAACGGAGTTTTACCAATGAAAATCAAAGCTTTTATTAAGCTTTATTCTAAATAAGGTAAAGCAGGAAAGTAAAACAAATAATGAAATAAGGGAAGAAATTTTTTCGTAAAGCATAAAGCTGAAAAGATGTACAAACATTTACCTATATTATTTTATTTTAATGATTTTTATATCAGTTTTATTGAAAAAATTTTTTCTGTCCTCTTTTAATCAAAAAATTTGTCAAATAAAATATTTCCTTTATTCCAAAAACATTTGTTTAGATCAGTGGTTTCCGTGGGGAAAGGAATCCATTTCCCCGGGGGATCTCGAATGGGGGATGAAATTTATTTTCCCGCAACCCCAGTTCCACGTAATATCTAACCAATTTAAGCTTCAATTCATTAGCTTTATTCTATATTTTTATATAATGTAAAAAATATAGGAGTGGATATTTGAGTGATTAATTGATATTGGAGTGAGTAACGAAGAAATGGAGATTTATTTTGAAAACCTTCTGAAACTTTGGAAGTTCCTTTATCCTAATTATCATATACGAGTTCATGCTGTGGAAAAATTTGTCTGATGGGAGATGGAATTGACCAGCGTGGAATGAGCCCAGCCAGAAGCACAACCGATTGTGCCACCATCCAACCCGATGTTGGGTTATTTATTTTCATTTATGTTCTTTCTGCAAGTGTGGGCACAACACTAATTAAAATAAATTTAATGCTTAATTCAGTTTGTTTTAGCAGGATTTTAATTTAACTAAATTCAATTTTAATATGTCATCAACAAATTATTTCAATGAAATATTCAATGAAGTAATTGAAAACGAAAGTCTTCAAAATTTCGAAAATTTAAGTGATATTGAAGAAAAT